GGCATGAGGATCAGAAGGGAATTAATCTTGGGGTTGTGGTGTTGGTTAGTGATTTTAGTAGGTGATGCACCGATGCTGATTGGGATATTGGGTTTTTTTGGTTTGGCGGTTGCCTGGTAGATGGAGTCATTGATGAAATGGAGCTTTTGGGTTGTGGGTATCTGATTTTAAATGTTAATCTGAATTGTTTGTTTGATTGGGTGTATTGGACATAGTTCCCCGTTCGACAATTGATGATGAATATGCAAATGCGGCCGATAGAGATCCTAAGATTTTACTTACAACTTCACGAAATCCGAGTGCTCCACTAACACAGTTTGTGAAGGTATTCAGCTGTCAATTTTTTTGTTGCATTTTTCTCTTTCTACTATTTTCCTTTAGATTTTGTAGTGTGTTTTTATGCCATGTGCGTGATGATGTTGTAATGTTTCTATAGGAATTGAAGATTGTGTTTCCAAACTCACAAAGAATGAACCGTGGTGGTCAGGTTGGTTCATCAGTCTTGTGGGTTTTTCTGTTCTTTTTTTCTTTCTCTCTCTTTCTTTTTTTTTTAAACATACCCTTTCCATTTTTGTACTCTTTTATATGCATTACTCCACAACTGCTTTCAGTGTAAAATTTTCTATTATCTCATTAAAGTAAGTGAAATATGTCACAGTGAGTCAGTGTTGCTTACAATAAGTAAATAGTCGTAAAATTTGTGTGGATTGAAATTTTGTGTGATTAGTTACATGACAAATATGTTAGTGTGCTTATGTTAGATCTCAATTTCAAGCCAGTGTTGACAGTTAAGCCGATTTTGTCCCTTTCAGGTCATATCAGAAATAATTGAAACCTGCCGGACACATGATTTTTCCGACGTTATTTTAGTTCATGAACATCGCGGTGTGCCAGATGGTGTGATCATAACCCATCTACCTTTTGGTCCCACTGCATACTTTGGACTGCATAATGTGGTAGGTAAATTTTGCTTTCTGCCGTGCAATGCTTCATACTCTCTTTCTTAAGTAATATTTTGATATGGTGATCTCATGTAGGTAACGAGACATGACATCAAGGACAAAAAGGCAATTGGTACGATGCCTGAGGCTTACCCACATTTGATTCTGGAAAATTTTTCTACTAAGGTTGTAATATTTCATTAATATTATTTGTTGATGTATTCGATTTGTTTCAACGCCTGAGTTCTAACTGTAGTTGCATGAGAATTAGGAACTTTGGTGGGTACGTTCTGTTGTCTCCATATAATCATCAGCTTGTGTCTGCCTTTTGAAATAATTGAACTATTTGCAGTTTGGGTTCTATCAGTTTAATTGCTAGTATAGTGTAAATACTCACTCTTTGACTGATACCTGTACATGATTTTCTGTTTATTGGACGGTCGAAACAAAAGATGAAGTTTTTCAAGTTATTTTTACCAGAAAGTGAGTGACTGTTTGTTGGAACTGTTATATGTTAAAGTTTTTGCTGATAATACTTGCAAAAGCCATTCTTGTTATGTTTCATGCACTGTAACTCTAATGTAAAATAGTTGCATTGGTCAATGCCAACCATGGCATTGGCAGATTACTTAAGAAAACAAATAAATTGATGTGGATTGGTTGATGCTCAGCAGCCAGATTACTTGAGGAACGAAATAATTGATGTGAATTCGTTGATTGTCTGCAGCTTGGTCAACGGACAGCAAATATTTTGAAATATCTTTTTCCAGTACCAAAACCAGATACGAAACGTATCATCACTTTCGCGAATCAGTCCGATTTCATTTCTTTCAGGTTAGTTCATTTTATACATTTTTCGGCCAAATCTACAACAATCAATTTTTTTGTTAGAAGTCAAATAGAAGGGTGTAGTTGACTTGACACTTATTATTCTTTTTCTTTATCTAATTGGTTATTTCAATGGAGTGTATGTTTTTAGAGGTTAGGGGCAGTACTGCCAAGTGCTGACATTAGCATCAATTTCAAAAGAACATAAAGCTTTTTGAAAGACATGATATTATCATCGCTCCCACTTTATGTTCCTAACTAATTGATTAATGCAGACATCATATCTATGAGAAACGCGGAGGTCCCAAATCAATTGAACTGAAGGAAATTGGCCCTCGCTTTGAAATGCGGCTTTACCAGGTTTTTTATTACATAGTTTGTCATGTTGTCTACCAATGGCATCTGATAAAAGATATTTTCTAGTGAATGCTCTGTTACCTGTTTTCTTTGCTTTCAAGTAGTCCTTTTTTTGTTTTGTTTTTTTTTTTTCCCTTGAGTGTTCTCATCTCTTTAATTATTTTTATTAGTAAATGTTAATTAGTGTTGCCACATAACCCTACTGGATTTTTCATCACTCGTGATGCAACTCTATTGATGCTTTATCACTCGTGATGCAACTCTATTGATGCTTTATCACTCGTGATGCAACTCTATTGATGCTTTATCAGTTGTGACGCTGTTTCTTTTGATGCAGATCAAATTGGGAACAATGGATCAAGATGAAGCCCAAACTGAATGGGTGATCAGGCCTTACATGAATACATCAAAGAAGCGCAAGTTTCTCGGGGACTGATATGAGGGCATGCAGTGCGTAGTGCTTTTTATTTGTTTTCCCTCATGTACCAAAAGGCATTGTTCTCTCAGTTCAATTCATAGTGTTGGAACATTTGTTGTCCAAAATTTAATCAAGAGTTTGCTTATTAATATGAGAAAATTTTGGTTGACAGTGGGATGTAGAAAAAATAGTCAAGTGGAACCCTTACATTCATTGCTGCGGGCTATTCAAAATGGAAAAAATGACATCATTTTACTTCATCAGATGTTACCACTTACCAGATTGATTGGTCTTTATCTGTAATTCAGCGAAGAAAAATAATCATGTTGAACCAAAATATTCATAGTTAAAAAACAAAATCTAGTACCGAAAGTATCATGGAGTTGGTTTTTCGTGATTTTTT